TATGATTTTTACTTTCCGACGATTTTCTAACTTTTGATGTGGAGAAACGAAAAAACGAGAGAGAGAGAGAAAAATGATAAAAATTAAAATTAAAGCTTTTCCGTCAAATTATTTTCCTTTTTTTTTTTTTTTGATTTAAATTAGATGACGACGACGACGATGACAACGTCGACGTTGTCGACATTGTGCAAACATTTTGACGCAAAAAGGCAGAAACGTGACGTTAGAAAAAAACGATCATTTTTTCAAACAATGAAGATCGATTACCGTCGCGCGTACATTAAAAAAAAAGAGGAAAATTCTAACCCGTTATTATCATTAAATTCTTATCAAAACCATTTTACGGAAAAATTTCATCGATTTCGTTCGTTTCCTTTTTTCCTCTCTCTCTCTCTCTCTCTTTTTTTTTTTACCTTTTTCGAAACTAACGAGAACAAGGAAAACAGCAACCGAAAAAAAAAGAAAATGTGAAAAAGGTTCATTTTCATCTTCGAGAGAGCGAGAGAGAACGAGAGAGAGAGAGAGAGAGAGAGAAAGAAAACGCCTGCTCTTCCTTTCCTTTACTCTTTCTCTCTCTCTCTCTTTTCTTACCTTTTTAATTTCCACGCGGCAGTTTTTTTTTTCGCAATGGAACAAAGGTAATTATTACAAAAATTATTTTTAAAATGGTAATAAAAATTTACTTTTCGGAAGGGGAGAAAGAGAAAGAGAGAGAAAGTGAAAGAGAGAGAAAGAGAAAGAGAGAGAAAGAGAGAGAAAGAGAAAGAGAGAGAGAGAGAGAGAGTGATGGCTTCGTACCTTTAAAACTCCAGCCGTAAGACGTCAAATATAAATTTTTCATGCGCGAAAAAACAAGGTAGGGAGAGAAACCTCCTCCTGCTCCTCCCTATTTGAAACGGGGATAACAATTGGAATAATAATGATAATAGTGAATAAACAAAAAATATAAATGAAAACCTCACGTGAATAAAATTTCGTAGAAAGGAAATTTCTCCGGGGATTAAAATCAAATTTGAACGAACCCGACCCCTCAAAGAATAAAAACGTATAAATAATAAATAAATAAATAAATAAAAAAAACTTTTCGAAATCTTTAAAGCATCTCTCTCCCCCCCCTCTCTCTCTCTAAAATTCTAGAATTTTCCAATTCTAACAACTTGTACTACCTTGAGCGTATATACGAAGATAATGATGATGATGACATTTCACGAGTGAAATTTAAACTAATCCCTAACTGAAAACGTCCAACTTTCAAAACAACGACAACAACAAAAACAAAAACAACAACAACAACAACAACAACAACAACAACAACAGCAACAACAACAACAATAATAATAATATTAGGGGTAAAGCTAACTGGACGAATTTTTATTTTTATTTTTTAAATTTTAAACCTTTCGTCATTAATGGCAAATTTAAAACGCAAAGAAAAAAAATTTAATAATGATAATAATAACAACATTTTCCCCTCCTCTCTTCTCCCCTCCCCCCGCCTCCCCACTTTTTTAATTTAGTTTCCACGCGATAAAATGTTTTTGTCGTCATTACGATTGATCTAAAAACAAACGAAATAAAACCGATATTATTATTATTAATCTCTTAAACGAAATCAATCCAAACGACTTTTCCCATCCCATTAAAGAAAAGAAAAGGGGGAAAAGAGAGAGAGAGGGGGGGGAGGGGAGGGGAAGAAAAAACATCCAACAGAGTCGGTTAATTTATTAATTAACTAATTAATTAACTTACTAGAGTAAAGAGTAGTAATAATAGTACTAATCAATCTTTAATTTATTTCCCCCTCCCCTTTTTTTTTCCTTCCAGAATAAAATTCATTAAAGAAAAGGAGGGGGCGGAAGGGGAAAAGGGAAGGAAGGAAGGAAAAAAAAAAAGGGAACATATTTAAACGTGTAATTAAATTTTCTTAAACGACGTCAAAACGTTTCAACGGATTTAAATAAAAAAAAAAAAAAACACGAGGGATCCGAATGAGGAAAATAATTAACGAATCCAATTTTTTTTTTTTTTTTAAAAAAAGCCTTCGTTAAAAAAAATTTTATTTATTAAATAGATTTGACGTCACGCGACCACGTGATACGCCACGCCATTTTTTTTTTTTTTTCAATTCTAAAAAATAAAAGAAATCGAAACATAACATTTCCGCCGTTAAACGAAAACAACAACAAAAATCAAAACAAACAATGAACGAACGAACAAACTTCATAGAGTAAAAATTCATTTCCGGTTTAATACAAATCCCGCCGCCTTCCACGTGACGTGAAAATTTAAAAATCGCGTTTTTTCGCGCCTTTTTTAAGAATATAAATCGATTCGGTCACATCGCGGTAAAAAAAAAAAATATGATTTTTTCCTTATTGCTTATTTTTTTCGCCATTTTTATTTATTTCGCTTCTTTCTTTAATTAGAGTAGAAAGAGAGAGAGAAAGAGAGAGAGAGGGAGAAAACAAACACCCTCGACGACGCCATCATTGAAAGTAATAATAATAATAATAAAAAGTAATTAAATCCCCGTCGTCGTTCGATGAACGTTTCGTAAACAAAAAAACAACAACAACAACAACAACAAGAAAATTAACGACAGAAATAAAAAATGACAGAAGAGGAGGAAAAAACGAGGGGCGAGCGGGAAGGGGGGGGGAAAAAAAAGGGAAAGAGTCCGAACCGGAAACCGGAAAATAATAATAATATTTATTATTATTATTATTATTATTATTGCCAGGTTTAAAATCCAATCAAGGATAAGAAATTGAAAAAAAAAAAAAATTTTTTTTGATAAAGTTAATTTTTTTTTTTTTTCACGCACCGAATCCGGGGGGGGGGGCGGAGTAGGAGGGAAGGGGAGGAGGATGGGAGGGTAGAGTAGGGGGAAGGGGGTGGAGGAAAGCAAAAACTTTATTTTCCCATGCGATGATGTTTTTCATGTTTTGATCTTTTATAGGATTATAGCGAGGAGGCTTTTTACGATTTTCAATCTCTCTCTCTCTCGCTCTCTCTCTGCGTGTGTTTCTCTTTTTCTCTCTCTCTCCCTCACACTCTTTTCACATAATTTCATCACGAAACTTTTTTTTTTTTTTAGATTTTCTTTACGGTTATATTTTTAACAGCCTTTTTTTTCTCTCTCTCCCTCTCTCCCTCTCCCCCTACTCCCATTTTCCTTCTCCCTTTTTTCTCCAATATCTGACTTATTTTTATCCGGAAAACTCAATTTTATTATTTTTTTTTTGTTTTTCGGACGAACCTTCGTCAAAAAAAAAAAAAAAAAAAAAAAAGAATAAAAGGATTAAAAATAAATCAAAATAAAAAGAGAGAGAGAGAGAGAGAGAGAAAAAAAAAATCACGTTCATCGTATTATTCGAATTGAATTTTCCCACGCATTTTCATGCCTAAAAATGGCGCTTTCATCATCATCATCATCATCATCATCATCATCATCATCATCATCATCATCATCATTATTATTATTATTATTCTTTCAAATTTTTCCTATGATTTTTTATTTCGCGAAAAAGTTTTCCAAAAATTAACTACGTCACAAAATACGTTAATAATTAAGTGACGTCATCGCCTTCCGGAAAGGGAACACATCAAATTGTCCAAATTTGAAGGGATTTCCCATGTAAAAAAAAATATCGTCGTGAATTACGGAAAGCGCAGTTTTAAAGTGATAAAAAATGATAACGACACTTTTTTCTTTAGGGGAGGGAGGGAGGGAGTGGGGAGAGGGGAGGAGAGATCACGTAAAAGTTTTGGTACGAACGGAAGGAACGGATAAAAATCCCGGAGCTAATTTTAATAATAATAATAATAATGATAACAACAGCAACAGCAGCAGCACCGTGAATGACGCACACGTCGTTAATTTTTTTTCTTTTGGCGCATTTTAAATGAATTTTGTTTGCAGTATATATTTAAAGTGTCGCCAACAAAACGGCGTTAATGTGAAAGAGAGAGAGAGAGAGAGAGAGAGAAAGAGAGAGAGAGAGCGAAAGAGAGAAAGAGACATTGAAAAAGAGAAGGAAATAAACAAATAAAAAATTTTTTCCATTATAATCGGAAAAGGTTCGTTTTTTTCCCCTCCCCCTCTTGCCGTCTCCATTTCTAAAACCACGACTGTTTCATTTTCTCGAAATCTTTTCCATCTTATAAATTCAAAACAGGAAATGACGTTTCGAGAGGAAAAAAAAAAAGAATTGAAAATCGATCGTCATCATCGCGAAACTACTTCCACGCGTTCAATTTTTTTTTAAAGAAGCAAGACGAGAACTTCCGGTTTTATAAAAAAAAAAAAAAAAATCATTCTTTCGAATAATAAACAACAACCAAAAAAAGAAAACAACGAGAAAAAGAAAAAAATCAAAATGGCCGCCGTTTGTTATTTTTCCGCGTGTGTCATATCATTTTTTATTACTCTTCTCGGTTAATTTAATAAAAAAAAAAAAAAAAAAAAAACGTTTATTTTATTACTCTCTCTCTCTTCCCGAGATCAAAAAAAAAAAAAAATTCAAATTATTATTTATTTACGATTTGATTATTTACGACGCATAAAATTTTCCGACGGTAAAAAAAAAAAAAAAAAAAACGATAAATTAATAATGATGATAATAATAATAAAAACTTAATTTTTTGTTTATTAACGATTAGTACGGAATTCAAACGACCATTTTAATTCGAATCTATCACAATTTTTTTTTTAATGATGATACCTGTATCGATAATATCAAATTCTAAAGGCGACGTGGAAGCAGAAGAGCAAACAATGAAACGAAGGGAGGGACAAAAAGAAAAAAAAATTAATTTATTATTCTGCCACGACTTAATCCAACGGTCGAAGAGATCAACGAGTAAATTAAGAGATTAACCACTAAAACGATGGGTTTAGGGCTGGAAAAATGCGATAAATCGGAGGGGAGGA